GAGTAGAGTGTTAAATAATGTTGGTGTAATATCTTTTATTGCATGATTCGTTCTGATTTATTGGTTGATTATTGCCTAAGGAATTCAAATAATTTTGTTCCTGAAAATGTTTGTTAACTCATTTTTTCATGTGAAGTAGGTTACTCAGTCTCATTATTCATCTGAAATAGTAGGGTGGTCTTACATAGTGTCACAATTTGGAGTAGTATGATGGTTTTATTTAGCTAACTGTCACAATTTAATATTACAACTTGATATTGGAAGAATCTTTGTAACAACCACGCATTTGGAATAATTTGTATTTAGTCCACCATGCCCGACAATTTTAGAAAATTGGATCATCTGTAACTTTTAAAAAAATATAAGTTTTTATGTGAGCCACAGTTCAATCGCTATGTTTTTAACAGAAAAATACACAATATATAATAAAATATCATGCTTTTTATATACTTTTATAGTATAACTAGATGTATATCGTTAAAAACTATATATAAATATTTGAATAAGTATAACTGTGTTACCACAATTATATAAAATTAGCTAGATCTTGAGAACAGAAAAGGTCACTGTCCACATAAAAAAACTAATTAAAAAATACAAGATAATATTAGTACTCATTTTATTATCACCCCAATATTTATGTGAGTGTGGTAGTTTTTGGGATTTAAAAGTGGACTTATATATAAATCATGTCTATTTTACTTTTAGTTTCATCACGTCAGTTCAGATGATTAAATAATAATTGCACAGAAGAAGTTTAAATTTTTTTTTTTTCAAAAAAAAAAAAAATAAACAAAGTTCATTTTGCTTGTGTGATATTGGACTTTCAAAAAATACATTAAAGATGCTTTTATTGGAATGAGAGGTGTAACAAGAGTTTGAAGATTACTTTGATCATATGAAATTTTATGTTGACATTATTAAAAAATATACATATATAAGAAACTTCAAAGCCCTTTATTTTTAGCAAATACTGCTTTTAATATGGTTTGAAAAGTCTAGATGAAAAATGCAAAATTGGTATGGCTGACTTGTTAGCTGATATTGCAAGTTGCAAGCTTTTGTCATAAAAAAAAATTGAGTACTTGTAAATATTCATCATTTTGTGCTCAGCAACATTAACGTTCAACAGTACTTGCAGAAGAAGAAAAAAATTGAAATAACATCAACTAGTTCAGAGAGAATTAGAGCAACAAAACTAATATTCAGCTTGTTAAACTATCCTGGGCATGTCAATATTTGTTTTTCAACAGTTCGTATATTACACCTGGAAAAGAGTTTTTCATCAGCTTTGCAATATTTGTTTCAAATTTGTAACATCGAAAAGAAATTGTTACAAACACTACTTAACCACAAAACCACATTCGCTGCAGATTGTAACTGGTTCACGAAATAATGAATTTATCGTCAAAATGGAAAATGACGAATCACATTAGAACTAACGATCATCCGATAGAAAATTTGAATTCGAAACATTAATTATATAACGATAATGTATGAACAAAACACAGTATTATCTGTCAAGCATACAGAATTGGAGGGCGTTTTTTTCTTTATGCCACATTCTCATTTTCAGATTCTCCAATTGCATGTGATAAAAGTTGAAACTCTTCAAGGTATATTAAATATTGAACCAAGTATCTATCATGTTTAACCGAGGCCTCTGACATATTGGTCGACGGTTTTATTAAATAGTTCGCATCTGCATGAACAAGGCAGGAAGAAAATAAAATATTATCCAACCACCCATAAATCACAATTTTTCAAGAATTTAGGTCCCCAACAAATCTATACATATATATAGTGGATTTTTTAAAGTTTATTTTTTAAAGAAAAAAAAAAGGAAAAGAAAAANGATTATTTCGTTACAAAATCCACAGATGCTTAACTACGTACTCCATGTTGAACAAGGCAACTTGAGAGAAGTTAATAAATGAATGGTGAAAAAATCAAGAAGGAATTGGAAAGTGGAAACAGTGATATTCGTCCACCCTTACCGAATCAAATGGGTATGCACAAAAATGATAAAGAATATATTTAATGCTCAAATGTGAGAATACAAGGTGCGTAGTTGGATGAAGAACAAACATTTACTAAAATGAAGAATCCTCTATCATACATCAATGCCCTAGTTGGAATGAAAGTTTAATATCCAAAAATACAAAGAAAAAACATTATAGCAGCCTTCGCACATCACGTCCTTACATTATAGCAGCCTTCAAATACTTACAAAAGTCAATTTTCAAAAAGGAGAAAAGGAAGAAAGAACTTATGTACTAATCTTTGTGTTATGTCCTTCAGCTAACAATGAACAACCATAAATAAATACCATTCTTCAGAAAGATCCTAAATTACTATGAAACACTAGTTAATATGACCAACAACAAGTCTTTGCAAGTGTATATCCTAAAAACTGTTGATACATCACTCCTAACATAATCCTCCGGTAATCACCAAAGAGCCATTTTCCTAATGTTTTGTCCATCATTTGTGCCAAGCAATTCTCGGCATACATCATACTATGAGTTTCTGAGCTAAAAAATTTGGCTCACTTTATGTTGAAAGAAACAATTTAAAACACCTATTTCTTTAGGCAAAGACTAAAACAACTTAACTCCTTTCTTTTAACTTATAAACATCAGTTAAAAATAACATGGAACATGCATCCATCCAGACTGACTTTTAAACAACAATTTCACCTGTAAAATAACTTCACAATTTTTCAAAATGGATGCCTTACATTAGCATAATCACAACTTAATAAAACCAGAACCAGTAGAGAAAGACTACGAATAAAGTACTTTTTCCTACATCAAGTAACTCAACAATGACATCCATGATCCAACTTACTTGCCAAAACTGATTATTAATGGCTACACATAGCAAAACAAATTCAATTTTCTCAATTAACCAACCTTGATCCCAGATGGGCTCTCCATAAAGCTCAATTTGTATGTATTGGTTCGAAAACTGTGAAATGAACACCCTTGTCCAGGCAGCTGTGGCACCCCAAGATTCCCTTTTTCCGCACTGCTCATATAAAGAAAATAACTATTGTAATTTGAGAGAGAGAGAGAGAGAGGAGAGAGGCAATAACATTGAGCACCTAGTGGGATCCATTTTAGCGGTCAAGGACTTGAGGGAGAAAAGGAGACCGAACATGAGCTTGTGATCTTGCTGCGAGCTTAGGGTTTTGAGGGGGCGATTCCATTCTCTGTATAGTAAGCAGACTCCATTTCTGTTGAAAATGTAGAGCATGTGGGCATTGTTCCCAGATGCGGTGGGCGCCGGCGGGGATGGACTGATTTCCGTGCCTCCAAAGAATTGCATTTGGCTGACCGATTTGATCGGATTTATTATCAGAGTTGATAGGTTTTCGGAAACTGGGAAAGCGGAGTGGGTGCTTTCACCACGGGGCTCCGATCTCAAATTATAGTGCGGGCACAGCGAGGGCGGAGGGGTTTGGTCTTCTCAGAAAACGGTAGCTTATGTGTGTGTGAGTGAACGGGCGGAGTGGCCCAATTGATTTTGGGCCACAAAGAAATTAATGAAGTTGGGCCAGTAGCTTATGAAAACTGGGCTACGCTTTTCCCGCTTGGCTGTTATTTTGTTTCTGAACTTTATGCCTTCAAAAGACAACCATTCGAACCAAAATTCCGAGCCCAGCCCTTGTACCCGTGCTGTTAAATTTATAACATTAATTTAAATAAATTTAGATATTATATTTTGAGAATTTATTATTTTCATGAAACATATTTATATTTTATTGAGTAGATAACGAGGATCCAATTGAGGTGCCAGAAACATTCATTTTCGCGAACAACTTAGCCGATGTGGGGTTTCTACTGTCTTATTCTTTTTAATCGTTTGATATCTATATCTATATATATATAATAAGAATTAACATTTACCATAAATAGTAGTAAGAAAACGTCAACCACATTTATTATATACTATTTTTAGTAACTTTTACATTTTACATTTTAATTTTAATTCATTCTCAGGAAATTGGATGGTTCCTAAATTAATGAGTTTTAAATGCACGTATCATGCTTCAAAAATTATAAATCATTTAAAATCGGAGGGTTCCTAAATTAATGGTTACAAACTTTTCAAAGTTGTATATGGCATCTTTTCTTTTTGACTTTTAGTAATAAAATTATTTTAAATATATATATTCTAATCCAAAAATTCAATCATGTTAAATATATATATATATATATATATTGAACGTTGAAAATATTTTTTAAATTGTATACTCAATCAATTAATCTTAATTTTTTTTAATTACTATGTTTATTTTTTATTAATATGCATAAAATAAAAGTAATAGTTCATCTTTAGATATATAATTTATAATCTTAATATACTATCATTTGGTGTAGACATATGAATCATAAAATATTTTTATTTTATAAAATTAAATATTATATTTAAAGAAAATAAGGAAATTACTTTGGATCAATCGGGTGATTGAATTAGGGTACTGCCCACTTTGATTGAATTACTTTTAGGTGATATTTAAAATAGTCAAAAAACTAGACATAACTTGGTTGGTCCGAGGTAACTAAGTTATGTATCAGTTTGACCAGACCAAATCGATTATTGAATCTAAATATAAATTTTAATATTGAAAATACTTTATTACGTGAATGTGATGTAGTCCAAACTTCAAATAATCATATTAACAATACTTTTATGACAACATGAATAATGATTTATGAATATTTATATATCATTTTATTATTATTTATGTGAACAAAATATTTATTTCATTATCATTTTTATTAATGTACGATAAATATAAGGTTTTCAGAATCGGACCGTCTTGTGGTTGTTCAGATTTTAATACATAATACTTTAATATATATATATATATATATATATATATATATAGTACTTTTTGTAATAAATTTAAATAAAAAGTGTTACTTAAATATCTAAACAATTTATAAATTCAAATGTTTAAACTAATTGATAAACAATTTATAAATCTCTATTTTATTTAAATATGTAATTTTATTTAAAATAATTTTTCATGTAACAAAATTTGTTTAGAAAATCGTATCGATCTTACCAGTCCAACATACTGGTGTTGGTGGATTCGATAGTAAATATTTTATTCAAGCGCAGTAAATCGGTTATAAACCGGTTCTCGGTCCATTCGGTCGGACTGCGTTCAACTCGGTTTAATTTATAAATAATGGGTAAATCATGATTAATGTTATTCATTTATTTAATTTATAGTACAATCAAAATATTATTTTCCCGTACATCGCAAGGGTCACGTACTAGTACTAGTGACTATGATTGTATGAACAACTTATCCGAAAGCTCAGCCAAAACGGCATTAACAGTGAGCAAAACGACACTCGAACCCGCAATCACCCCAAGCACCACCCCTGTCGTCCCCAAAACTTTCCCAAACGAAGGCCACTCAATTTCCCTTATTTCCTCGGCGACCCCACTCAAAAAACCCGCCTCTTCACTTTGACCCCTTTCCCTCACCGCGTTCTTTATTTCCATCATCATCTCTTCGTCTTGGGATCTCTCGACTCGACTATCTGAGGGGCTTGGGTGCAATTTTCGTGGGGAACTTGGTGGCCTTACGTGTGGTGGTGATGGAGAAGGTTTTTGAATAGGTGGATTTAGAAGGGCAAAAGGTGAATTGTGAAATGGGGAGCGCCATTTTTCTGTGATGAAAATGGAGGAAGAATGGCTGACGAAGTAATCACATATTAATTTACGGGAGATGACAAGTTAAACGACAAGTTTCACTACAATAAAATATTTATAATTTATATATAAAGTTAAAAACAATTGCATTTAACTGATTTAAGTGACCAAATACTCATTCCAAACAATATAATATTTATTAATATAGGTTTCCCCACAATAATCATAATATCATATGGATAGGAAGCTAACATTTGTGACAATGTAATTTGTATTTCGAAGCCAAATCGTAAGATTGCGATTGTATAATATCTATATACCTATATGTATAAAAAGATTTGTTCTTTTTATCTCTAAAGCAAATGCTGATATCAAAATGACCTAAACTAACTATCCAGCATTTGCCTCCCTAATAGGTGATGAAAACAATTTTCAACCTCTCAACTGCCAATCACTCTAAGAACATTAAAACAAAAGAGCAAATTATATTTACTGCAAAAAGTGAAAGCCTCAAATATCCCCTTATCGTCGTACAAAATTTAAAGACAAATATACGATGTTAGCACTTGTAGAACACAATATCACGGCTACAACTGGCCTTTATAGCTTCTTCCAGACTTTGTGCACGGTCGAAATCAACTTTAAAGGTGACCATTGTAACATTATCTTTTCCGGTCTCATAGTCCTGCTTGATGTCCTCAGCTTGAAAAGATTGAAGCTGCAAGTCAACACAATTACGATGAATAGTAGAGCCAATTCCAAGGAGAAATGGTAAAAGTAGAGAAACCAAAATATATATGAAATCAGATGTTTGTAATCTTTTTTTTAATAGTTCAATAATCATAAATGCACACATAAGCATGATGGAGGCAGTTTTTCTTCTTCCTGAAGATAATTCAAAAGTTCATGGATCTTATGCCTTAATGAGAATAATCATGCTAACAAAACTATGCTTTTACACAAGGCATTTGAAAAAGATCTAAACAAACCTTGCTATAATCTCTACGCCATTTGTTTTTTTTCACTCCAGAGACTGATAGAAAATTAACCTGAAGCTATTTTCTTACTCATTGTTGCACATATTCAAAAGAGACAGTGACTATTGGAGTTTCTCCCCTAAAAAAGAAGGAATAAGTGACAATCAATTTTGAACAGCAAAGCAGGGCAATTATGAGCCAAACAAAGATGACTGGGAAAATGTAAGTTACAGTGGGGTCAGTAATTTGGTATAGAAAGTACTCTCTATGAAGGAACACCGTAACTCTTAACTAGAGAGAGGACAACCATTATCCTTTCATATTTGCTTGTCAATGAATTCACCACATTGAAGCTAACCAAATGCTTCCAGATTCTT